TTTGATGCCTGTCCTGGATCTCACTCTGTAGACCAGGCTGGCCTCAAACTCACAGAGATCTGCCTGGCTCTGCCTCCCGAGTGCTGGGATTAAAGGTATGCGCCACCGCCACCCAGCATGGACTTCTCATAACATATAGATTGGTGATTGCTACATTATTTTAAAATGATCACAAGTAAACTAACATGTAATTTTAATGTCTTAGGTCATTCTATAGAGAATAATATTTGGTTTTCACAATGAATATGTTTCAGATAAAATGGTGGTACTTTTCCTTAAGCCACACTTATACTGAGCGATGCTTGTTGTGTGCGTATTTTGTAGACAGACACAGATAATTGTACAAGACACTGTGCCTCATAGGATTATTTCTAACCAGATTATTTTTTCTTTGAACCATAGAAAATCATAAATAGAAACTCATGCTACCCTGACCAAAACTATTTACTGTAGGATGCAATTTGTTCAGTTTATATCTCACCTCAGGCATTTCCCTTTTGTCTTAATTGGATTTTTATTGTTGTGAAGAGAAACCATAACCATGGCAACTCTTATAAATGAAAACATTTAGTGGAGGGGCCTGGCTTACAATTTCAGAGGTTCAGTCCATTATCATCATGGTGAGGAGCATGGTGGCATGGAGGCAGACATGATGCTGGAACTGAACGTCCTACATCTTGACTCAGTGGCAACAGGAAGTCTACTGACAGTCACACTGAGGTAAGCTTGAGCAAAAGAGACCTCAAAGCTTGCCCCCACAGTGACACACTTCCTCCATCAAGGCCATACCTCCTTATAGTGCCACTCCCTTTGAGGGGCATTTTCTTTCAAATCACCTCACCTTTTTATGAGGACACCTCTGGACCAAAGCCAGTGCAGATGGCACAGAGCAGTGTAAAGTCCTACCATCTTCTATGCCCATGCAAGTAATTCTTCTCCTCAACCAAGTTCTAATCCCAGACATGACACACTGTTGCCCCAAACTGCAAAGCTCACTAAAATGATTTCTTCCTCACAAGTCGTTGTAGCATGAATCGTTAGAAGGTCTTATTAATAAAAATAAACCTGGAGCCAGGTACTGGGGTCAACGCTGGAAGATCAGAGAAGCAGAACAAGCCACAGCTTCCTCACCTCGCCAGTTCCTCAGCTGATCCTGTTTCCTCAGACTGGAAGCCTCTGAGTCCTTATCCAAATGGATCTCAGCTGAACTGCTTCTCAAAAGCCTGAAAGCTTGACCAGCTCTAGTTCCTGGTTCTCACACCTTATATACCTTTTTGCTTCCTGCCATCACTTCCTGGGATTAGAGGCTCTTGTTACCATGCCTAGCTGTTTCCAGTGTGGCTTTGAACTCACAGAGATCCCGGCAGATCTCTGCCTCTGGAATGCTAGAATTAAAGGTGTGTGCTACCACTGCCTAACCTCTAGGTTTAATATTGTGGCTGTCCTGTTCTCTGACCCCAGATAAGTTTATTAGGGTGCACAATATTTGGGGAACACAATACCACCACAAGTTGTATGCACCACACTAGGGAAATGCTGTGGATATCATTCTATATAAATAAAACACTGATGGCCAGTGACCAGGCAAGAAATAGGTTGCCAGGCAGGAAGTAGGTGGGACAAGGAGAGAGGAGAATTCTGGGAAGCAGGAGGCTGACGCGGAGAGACACTGCAGCCGCCGCCATGACCAGCAGCATGTGAAGATGCCGGTAAGCCACCAGCCACGTGGCAAGGTATAGATTTATGGAAATGGATTAATTTAAGCTGTAAGAAAAGTTAGAAAGAAGTCTGCCACGGCCATACAGTTTATAAGTGATATAAGTGTCTGAGTGATTATTTTATATGTGGACTGTGGGACTGTGGGGCTTGGGGAACCTGGAGAGAAGCCCTCCAGCAACAGGGAAGAACATTTTTTCTCTCATCCTATGGTACTCCGTATTGGTATCTTCAGGTATAGGACAAAGAATTTCCTGTAGAATACCATGTATAGGAAATGCAAAATGCTTCAGTAACTATTAGGGAACTATTAAGAAAGATGCCAGTTGGGTGAAGGTGGACCCACACCTCTCCTACTGCTCCTAAGATCCAGTCCCTCTTGTCTCTTCCCCAGCTCTGTAGCAGGAAACCTACTGTGATCTCCATTTCCTATCTGACACCATCCCCAACAGATCACAAAGATCTTCCCCTAACCTTCTTTTCCCTAACTCATCCCAGTATCCCAGTCTCCAAAATCAGCAGGCATTCATTGGGAACACACCAGCTGAGCAGAACAGGAAGAGGGGTAAGCTAACTGAAGACCCTCACCACTCCCCACTCCCTCCAAATCCAGTCCCCTGGTGTCATTCTCAGAACTGCAACAGAGCACCAGCTGTAGCCTTCCTGTCCCCTGCCCATATCTGCTGTGGATCCCACAGTACGTATACCCCTAGCCTCCCTACCCTTACTAACCCAAGGGTCACTCCTCCCAGGGTAACCAGTAAGCTGGAAGAGGGCCTATACCTCTAGTATTGCTCCTGAGATCCAATACCTCTATTGGCAACCCCAGCTCTGTAGCAGAAAACCTGCCATGATCTCATTTTCCTCTTTGACCTCATCCACAAAGAATCACAAAGACCTTCTCCCCCATTTGTCCTTCCCCCAACTCACCCCAGTATCCTAGCCTCCAATGCCAGAAGACATTTCCTGTTGTAGTATCCAAAATTAATCTGCAAGCTCCATCTGCCCAAGGACCAGGTAACTTCATGGAATGCTGGGAGTTATAATTGTAAGCTCCACTTGCCCTAGAGCCAGCTAACTTCCTGGGCTGTTGGGAGTTGTAGTTCTTGAAAAATAACAGTAATACTTCATGGGAAAGAATGGTGGATAAATGGTTTTGTCCATAAAGCCCCTACAATTTGTGCCCTGGGATCCCTCAGCTGGGAAATTCCAGGGAGTGGTCCCGACCAAAGTCCATATAAGTCTTGGTCAGTATTTAATATTTAAATAAAACTTGTTTCAAATTTGGCTCAAAGTGGTGAAATTAGTTTTCCCTTGACAAACCTCAGGATTAACACCGAGAACACACCAGCTGAGCAGACCAGAAAACAGGCAACACACAGACCTCACCCTCTCTGAAAATCCAGAGAAGAGACAGAAACCAATGAACAAAACACCTACTCCACAAAAACACAGATATGAGCACTTAGTCCTATAATGAACCAAACCCAGATGCCTAGACACCAAGGTAACACAGTAACAGCCAGAACAATATATCTCTACTAGAGCCCGGATATCTTACCATCACAGACCCTGAATATTCCAATATTGCTTAACCACAAGAATAGGACTTTAAAACCAATTATATGAAGATGATAGAAGTCCTGAAAGAGGAAAGGAATAAATCCCTTAAAGAAAACACAAACAAACCACTAAAGTTTAAAAAAACAAAAACCTATTCAAGACCTGAAAGTGGAAATTGAAGCAAAGAAATCACAAACCAAAGGAATTCTGGAAATGAAAAATTTAGGAATTCGAACTTGAGCTATGGAGGCAAATTTCACAAACAGAATACAAAAGATGGAAGAAAAATTTCAGGCACTGAAGATATGATAGAAGAAATAGATACATCAGTCAAAGAAATGTTGGATAAAAAAAATTCCTGACATAAAACTTCTAGGAAATCTGGGACATAATGAAAAGAGCAAACCTAAGAATAATAGGAATAGAAGGAGAAGAATCCCAGGTGAAAAGCTCAGAAAATATTTTCCACAACATTATACAAAAAATTCTTCTAACCTCAAGAAGGACATGCCTTTAAAGGTACAAGAAACATACAGAACACTAAATAGATTGGACCAGAAAAGGGAGTCCCTTTGCTACATAACAATCAAAACACTAAACATATGAAAAAAAAGAATATTTAAAACTTCAAGGGGAAAAGATAAAATAACATATAAATGCAGAAGTATTATAATTACATCTGACTTCTCAATGGAGACTCTAAAAGCCAGATGGGAATGAACAGATGTGCTATAGACACTAAGAGATTATAGATACCAGCCAAGACTACTATGCCTAGCAAAATTTTCAATCATCATAGATGGAGAAAATAAGATACTGAATGAAAATGCCATATTTAAGCAGTATGTTTCTACAAATCTCGCCTTACAGAAGGTACTAGAAGAAAATTCCAATCCAATGAGGTTAATTTCATCCATGAGAACACAGGAAGTAAATAATCTCATGCCAGCAAAATTAAAAGAAAGGAAGCACACACACACACCACCACCACCACCACCACTACCACCACCAACAGCAGCACAAACAAAAACAACAACAAAATACCAGGAATCAGCAATCATTGGACATTGATATCTCTGAATATCAGT